GCATGTTTCACAATGCACGGGACAGTCCCCCAACAACAAAGAGCTATCCAACCCAAAATGTCATCAAAGGAGGTTGAGAAACTGAGTTCCCTGACGTGTGGAGAGGAGCATGTTTCCATCCGTGGGGATGGAAGATGGGAGATGGGGATGGGAGATGGGAGGTGGGGATGGGAAGATGGGAGGTGGGGATGGAAGATGGGAGATGGGGATGGGAGATGGGAGAGATGGGATGGGAGATGGAGATGGGGATGGAAGATGGGAGATGGGGATGAGATGGGGATGGGAAGATGGGAGATGGGGATGGGAGATGGGAGATGGGGATGGAAGATGGGAGATGGGGATGGAAGATGGGAGATGGGGATGGAAGATGGGAGATGGGGATGGAAGATGGAGATGGGGATGGGAGATGGGAGATGGGGGAGGAAGATGGGATGGGACAAAGATGGGAGATGGGGGATGGAAGATGGGAGATGGGGATGGAAGATGGGAGATGGGGATGGAAGATGGGAGATGGGGATGGGAGATGGGAGATGGGATGGAGATGGAGATGGGAGATGGGATGGAGATTGGGATGAAGATGGGGATGGGAGATGGGGATGGAAGATGGGAGATGGGGATGGAAGATGGGAGATGGGGATGGAAGATGGGAGATGGGGATGGGAGATGGGGATGGGAGATGGAAGATGGGAGATGGGGATGGAAGATGGGAGAACAGCCCCTTCAGAGAGAGGGAGGCAGCGGCAGCAGAGGGGCATGGTGAGAGCTGTGTGCGCACATGTCCCAGAAGCTACTGGAGCCTCAGTGTTTATTTGCAATGGTCTAGTGCAAACTTATGCACAGATGAGGAAACTGAGACACAGAATGTTTACCTCTCTAGTTCACTGTGAGTGGCAGAGCAGGGTCTAGAACCAGCTTCCTAATTCCTGGGCCACCACTTTTAACCTTGTTGTGTCCTTTCTGTGACCTCTAGACCTCCAAGTCAAGGTTCCTGTGTCCCTGGATCAGAAGGGCTGGGAGGGCCACATAGCTCCATCCTACGGTGCTCCAAAGCCCAGGGAGGGAAGAGAAGGTGGGAGAGGACTTTTCACATATGGATTCCTGTCCTCCCCTGGGTGACATTTTCCAGATGGTTAACACCAGGGTCCAGCTACACCTCTGAAAAGACCTCATCCTCCTCCCGAGGCCTCCCAGGCATAGCAGGAGCCTCACTGCCATCCTAAAGATCCACTTTCTGTTGATCAACAAAAGCAAACAATGTGCCAGCCACAGTTCTCAGCGTTTTACACGCATTAGCTCATTTAATCCTCACAACAGTCCTGTAAAGCAGGTGCTATTATTATCCCCATTGTACAGATAAGGAAACTGAGGCACAGAGAGGCTAAGTCACCTACGCAGGATCGCACAGTTTGTGCATGGAATGGTGGACCAGGGTCTGAACCCAGGCAAGCCGGCTTCAGCCTAGGCTCTTAGCCTCTGTCACACTACCTTTCCAACACACTAAGGTATAAATGTGCCAGCTCCCCACCCAAGACAGGGGCTCAAAAAGGAAGGGTGCTCAAGAGGGAGCCAGGGGGGAGCACGCCTCCCCATGTGTACTGCGCAGGGCGAGTTCCAGCAGGCGGTCCCACCCTCACTTCCCCAGAGATCAGTGTCCTCAGCAAAGCTGCATCTTTGCTCTTGAACCAACTCTGTTGCTTCCAACCCTCAGGTAAATGGAGGGACACCCTCGTCCCTCCCCTGCGGCTGGGGTCCACTGTGCAGCTGGTGTTCCTGCAGGGCTTCTCCGCACAGGAGCAGCCAGAAGCACAAGGGCTGCCTCCCAGCAGCTCTCTGAGGGGTACGCAATGGGACATACCAGCCAGAAAACCAACAGGCTGGGGTGTGAGAGCCACTGAACACACGTGTGACCCACCCAAGGCGTCTGACATAGGGAGGCCCCAAGGCACGCCCCTCCCCCGAGTCCTGGCCCAGCAGGAGCCTGTGGGGAGCAGAGGCCACAGGCTCCTTGCATGGCCTGTTTGACCACCTTGCCTGCCGCAGAGAAGGGAAAATGGTTTGACAACAGAGGGCTCAAGTCCAACTGTCTCTGAATTTTTCCCAGAGGAAAGCGGATCGGGGACGGTATGGGAGAGGAAAAAGCCAGCCCCAGAGCTCTGTGGAACAGAGAAGAGGAGAAGACACGACCCCAAGGCTTCCCCTCCAGCCCCTAGCTCCCACCCCGGGTTCTGTGGCTACGCTGGGAAGCCCAGAAGCTGAGGACCACAGGAGTCCTCAAATTCCTCTTTCCAGGTGAGAGTGTGGCCGGGTGGCTCTGTTGCCTTCTTTTCTGAAACCCTCTAGATTCAGACGCGTTCATGCTCCTGCCAAGGGCTGTGAGCTGCCGCGAGCACCCGTCACTCCGAATCAAACAGCACACTCCACCTGCCAGTCCCACACGAGGGACAGCGGAAACAAGACCCAGCAAGGCTGCCAGACCCTGACTGCTGCTCTCAGGGAGCCCACGTGTCTGTCCCCCGAAAACTAGCTCCAGGCTACGGGTGGGGAAGAAGGAGCGTCAGAGTCCAGCTCCATTCTTGCTCTGGACCCACCACCCTTTGCTGCCCAGGCCTGGAAACTTCTGCTCTGTGGGATCAGACAGCATGGGAAGTGGCTCACGTCATCCCTACATACCACAGACAGGGAAGTTCACGTCCCAGCCTCCTGAGACCTGAACCATCCCCTCCCTCGCTGAGTGTCTCCTTCTTGGGAAACCATGAACTCTGGAGGATGAGAACCCAGAGAAAGAGGCTGAGCATGGGAGAGCAGTGCGTGTGGAAGGGAAAAGGCACCTGTGGGCCAAGGCCAGGTGGTACACTGGGAAGTGTCCTGGGCCGGCAGCCAGGAGACCTGGGTTCAAGCCCTGAGCTCTGCTCCTCACTTGTTTTGTGACCTGTGGTCCCTCCTTTGCTCAGTTTCCTCGGCAAAACATTCTCCAAGACAAGAGTGTTTACTTAAAACCTCTGGGGCACTGGTTCAAATGCAGATTTTCCAGTCTGGCCCCAGAGAAAACAACTTGTACATCCGGGGTGTCATCTGCATTTTAAACAAAGGTCTTGGAGGGTTCAGAGTACACTCTGCAGACTCCCTCATGAGAAGCAATGATATGGTTCAGCGGGAAGGAACAGGGAAGGCAGGCGTGGGCGAGGTGTGCTGCCCCACTCTGACCACACCTGAAGCTCTGGCTGCAAGACGAAGTCCAGCAGGTGCCCCACCCCGTGGCCCGGGCACCATCACTAAACGCCTTTAAGGCAACCCTCCAAGACGCAACACTGCTTTTCACTTCACATTTTTTGTTTTTCTTTTACAATTCAAACACGTCTCCCACTCCCACCCCCCACTTTCTCCTCCCCCTCCTTTTTATGTATTTCAGAAGACGGTGGAGAGCTCCTGCTGCGTCCCAGCATTCTGGGGCATTTTGTGACAATCTGAAGATGGGCCACTGTACCCTCTGGAACTCTGCACCCGAGCCTGCCCACACCCCCTCCCCACCAGCTCCATCAACTCCACCAGTAACGCAAAGGCTGCTGCTATACCCACAGTCCAAGCAGGCTGAGTCGTTCTGCCTGTCCCTTGGAGACACCGTCCATCAGCACAGGGCATTCCAAAGGAGCTCATGACACAAGGAACCCAAGCCAGCTCCAGAAGAGGCACTGTGGTAAGGGCACAGATTTCAAATCCTGATACTTCCCAGCTGGGTGACCGCGAGCAAGGTGCAGCTCTGTGCCTCAGTTTCTTCATCTGTCAACAGGGTGATATAGTGTGTACAGAGCACTTACTATATGCAGGCTCTGTTCTAAGTGCTTTCCATGGATGGACCCATTTAGTCTCTACACCATCCCTAAGGCACAGACCACCCGCCACCCCCCCCATTTCCCCACTTGACGGTTTTTGACTGAGACGGGAAGGAGTCAAGAAACTTGCCCCAGGCTGTTGCCCAGTCATTAATATAACTGACACTCTGGCCTCAGAGTCCACGTTCGTCGTCGTTACACTACATTGATTCTACAACTCACACTTCCTACAGCTAATGGACAATTAAATGTGCTGCTTGGATCCCTACTTGCGCATCATAAACGCACACAAAAGTTGCAGCAATTGCCATCGTTCATTGTTTACCTAAACTTTTTCTCCCAAAGCAGGATGTGCAGCCTGGATGAAGCAGGGAAATACACCCACTCTTGGTTTTGTCTCTACGGGGGTGGTCGGAATGGCTCAGAGCTGTGTGAGTTGGAGTCTAAGAGAGCAATCCCCCGTTCCCTGCTCTCCTGCATTTGTGTCAAAATAGCAAACCTGGGACCACACTTCTCAGGTCTGTGCCTCTCAGCGGGGCAATGATGTCCAGCCCCACCTGCCCCAAGCACAGGGCTGAGGAGCAGAGGTGGGGTGTGGGGCTCCCCCCTCACCTCTGCATGGGGATGGGCAGGGGGGGTCCCCCTCATATCCACATGGGGGTGGGCATCTCGAAGCGCCCTGGGAGGCAGGCTAGTCACCTAGGCAGAAGCTGCCTGCTTCCGTCAGGAACTCCTAGGAACTCTATTCTTAGGGCGCTTTCTCTGGCTTTTAACTTTGACATCTTCCAGAAGTTACCCCGCACAAAAGCAACCCTGCCGTGGCTGTAATTTACACGTCACTTCACTTGCGCTGAGCACAGTCCACCCCCTTCAACCCACTCCCGCACGCGTACCTTCCTCTCCTGCCCTGAAAAAAATGGCTTCTGCATCATCCCAGCCACCCTCCTTCCACTTGTTCACCAGGAGAGAAGTGAAATGTGAAATTGACAGGAGAAGGGGAGGTGGGAGGGGGACGTGGATGGGGAACTTCAGCAAAATCCGAGCTTTGGAACTTCCTCGTCTCCAGGTTGGGCATCACTTCTGCTTGGCGGTCCACATCGCCATGGCAACAGCCCAGCCAAATGCCCCAGCTCACAGCCACCCTGAGAGTCCCCTTCCAGAGCCACTTACCGTGATGGTGTTTTCCTTGCTCTGCTTTTTGCTTGGTGATGAGGATCCCAGGTTCTGGGGAGAGAGGCAAGAAATATCATCAAAGCTGTTCTCCATATTGGACATTTTTCCCCCCCATTCAGGTTCCCTGAGGGTGGAGGCGCTGGGGAAGTTCAGGGATGCTCAGTCTGCTGTCAACTCCTAAGTCACCATATTCTGGGCCAGGGCAGGCAGGGGTCTCCCTGACCCCACGCTGTTCCCACAGCCAGCTCTCGGGTGGAAGGCAAATTAAGGAAGCCTCCTGCACAGGCTCTGAGAGAACTGCTCCAAACCAGGTCTCCCCTCCTCTTCTCTCAGTCTGTGATTTGGGGAGTTAACCCCTCCGCTGCCCTCTGCTGGTGAACATTCTGCGTGCCGCTTGCCGCCCGAAGCCCCGGAATCCACTGGGGAGAAGAGAGTTAAGGCCACCACCTCCTGGCACTGAGGACTCAGCACACGACATTTTATTCTGAAACCCCCGGGTCCAAAACATCAAACCTAAACACACACAATGTGCACTGAGGCGCTGCTCCGTCACCTCCCCGACTCCCCGGTTCCCCAATCCCGTGAACCAGGAGGGATTTCTCAGCCAAGCCGACTTCCAGCTTCCATTCAGTCTTCAGATTGCCTTTTGACGTCTTCCACTGCCAGCAAGAAAACCAGAGTCCCAAGTACCTCTGAGCCCTGAAGTCCTCAGCAGCCTGCCTAAGTCCTGGGATTGGTCTGGCAGAGAAAATTAAGGACTGCCAGTGGAAAATGCCACACGTGTCCTAAGAGACTATGACTCTGAAGAGTATTTGATACTGGGTCTCTGTTGTTCTATTAGCAATTATGTTAGGGGTTCAATACCACAGAGCCCCAAGCAGGACCGGGGATGTCTCCTATCCTGAGCCACACAGCGACCTGGGAAGCAGGCTTACCCCTAAGGCACCGCAGGTGGTCATCATACATGTGTCCCAGGACTTGTGCATGACTTCACTCTTTTTTTTTTTTTTTTTTAAAGATGGAGTCTCACTCCGTCACCCAGGCTGGAGTGCAGTGGCGTCATCGTGGCTCGCAGCAACCTATGCCTCGCAGGTTCAAGCAATTATCCTGCCTCAGTCTCCTGAGTAGCTGGGATTACAGGTGCCCGCCAGCACACCTGGCTATTTTTTTGTATTTTTAGTAGAGACAGGGTTTCAACATATTGGCCTGGCTGGTCTCGAACTCTTGACCTCAGGCAATCCACCTGCCTCGGCCTCCCAAAGTGCTGGAATTACAGGCATGAGCCACTGCAGCCAGCCTGGCCTTACTCTTCCTTAGTAGAAGGTAAGGAAGTGGTTGACACTTTATAGATAAAGGCCAGAAAAAGCATGGAGGGGCTTCAACAAGAAGGAACCACTGGCTCGGGGTGGGGGGCACCCCACCCCTCAGGCCAGCACGACCCTAGACACCTGGCCAAATGACCATCTGCAGGTGAGGGCCAGCCTTTGCCTCAGAAACCCATCAGCAAATTAGGCAAACCAGGGAGCCTGACTATGCCCCTGCTAAGGTCTCATCCCCTTATTCCATACAGTCTTACTTGGGTTGCCAATTAAAGTCATCTCAGGAAAACTGATAACCTTAGGGTGTCTAGCAAAAATGAGCCTTAGAGAACATTAATTTCACACAGACAAGAAAATGATTACTAGCCTTAGAGACCCCGGCCAGAAAATCTGACTTCTTTGAGCCTCAATTTCTCCATCTGTAAAATGGATGGTTATCACTGGTCCTCAAGCTCTGAGGTGCACCAGAATCAACTGAGGAAAGTGTCCAAAATAGAGTCCCAGCTGCACTCTCAGCTGCTGGGCCTGATCCAGCAGGTCCCAGGTGGCGCCAGCATCTCTGATTTGTAGAATCTGTGGACCTCACTTGGAGACACATGGATCTGATCTACACTGTGGTTTCACTGTGTTTCTCTACTTACGGCAACTTCTCTAGCGACCCCAACAGGCTCCCGGCCAACGTCAACTTTATGGCCAACTACGGCTTCCACAGACATTTTTAGTGCATCATCTCATCCAGCTGGCCCACCCTATACCTTCCCAAGTGATCAGCTCTGCCAATTTTGGCAACTTGATAAAACTGCACAGAAGAGAAAGGCAGACAGAGTCTACAGGGCAGGAGGTACCAGTCACCAAGGAGAAGAGACAGGGATAGGAGTCTCTCTCTCCATAGGTTCATTCACAGACAGACACTAGTCAAGCAAATACATGCCAGGAAGGGGAAAAGGCAGCCTTTAGGATGGATTCTGCAGTCTACAGGAGTCTGTCTTCCTGTCATGGACACATTACCACCATCACCACCACGTTCCCACTGCAGCCTTCCAGGGAGGGCAGCCAGCATTCTAGCAGCCTTGGCAACAGCCTTCGAGTCTACCTACGGATGCTGACGATGTTGGTGGTAAGGGGGCTAAGAGGGGAGAAGTAATGCAAGAGCTACTGTCTACTGAGTGCTTGCTTATTACGGCAGGCTCCAGGTCAGCCATCTGACATATTTAATCTCATTTCATCCTTACAACCCCAGCAAGTTAAATGGCATCAACTCCATTTTACAGATCATGAAATTGGGGCTTGCAGAAGTAAAACTGTCCAGGGTCACAAGGCTAGTAAATAGAGGAATGGAAATTAGAATCCAAGCCTGCATAACTCTTTCCTCTATCTCCCGCCATCTCTCCACTTTGAGACCTGAGACAATATCTTGTTTCCCATGTGTCTTTGCAGGAGGGCAAAAAAGATTTCCATCAACCACAAACATATATTTTGGGACCACTGTGTATAAGTCTCTGTAGAATGAGGTTCGATGCAGAGGTCGCACCTCGTCCCTTTAACTTGGCTAGGATAGGAATACAATGGCATTGAGGGTGGGTGTTCCACGTGTAGGTGACAGCGCCTTCCCTGGTCTCTGCTCTATTAGCAGTGTTTTACTTCAACCACTGTGGGCCAAGGTAGGTCACAGGCAATCTTAGGCTCTGCCTGTGCTGCTGCTAACCTGTGCCTACTGCTCCAACTTCATATACATATCACATGCATTATATATATATATACACACACACACACGTACGTGACACACACACTCTCATAATGCTCCACTGAAAGGGCCCAGAAGGAACGACGTCTCATCACAGTGACAACACCTACTGGCTAGAAATTGGTTTCCAAATATTATCGGAAGCTCCTTGGTACTAATTCCAAAGGCAAGGTATTTGGAATATCTTAGAGTACAAAGATGTAAGAAAGTATTCAAAGAATAATGGAGAGATAACAAAAGAACATAAACAAAAGGGCTCCCACAGGCCAAATGTGGGACGATTTGAGCACAAATATGAATGAATGACTGCAACTCACTCACTCACTCCAAGGGGGAGGGGAGAGACCGTTTATTTCAGAAGAACGCCCATAAAAAATGTACAAGAAATTGATGACCACCATTTGCAAACCCCAGTGTCAAAGAGGATTCAGGCCGCAATCCTCATGGACGCCGAAAGCAGCGGATGGCAAGATTGTCAGGGCACAGGATGTTCACAGGGTCTTAACTGGCACCTCACAGATGACTGACAAATTAGAAAGGGAAAAATGTACCCCTGCGAAGGAGAAATCAGGCAGCCAGCACCTTAACCGAGAGTGCAAACTGAGCCTCATGAGAAAGGTGCTAACCTGGGTGGCTGTGCCTCCAAATGCAGTAAGAAGAACCCCACATGCCCTGTCCGGCATTCTTGCCCAGACTGCAGAACCTGAACCTAAGCATAAGAGAACGGTCAGATCAAGAATGTAGGTTATTCTCCAAGACACCTGACCTGGACTCCTCCAACATAAATTGTCAAGGTGATGAAAAACAAAAGAAAAAAAGGTGTAAGGGATCGAGTGTAGAGGCGACAGACGGAGGCAACGACTTGGATGGAACATTCTATCCATATGACAGAATATTCTTCAGCCATAAAAAGGAATGGAGTGCTGATCCACGCCATGACGTGAATGCACCTTGGAGTTCCAGGTGACAGAGGCCAGACACAAAAGACCACAGACAGTATGATACCATTATAGGAAACGTCCAGAAGAGGCAAACCCATAGAGACAGAAAGATTAGGGGCTGCCTAAGTCTCAGAGGATTCTGTTTGGGGTGATGACATGTTCTAAAATTGATCTGATAATGGTTGTACAACTTTGTAAATATAGTAAAAAACACTGAATTGTACATTGTAAATGGGTGAACTGTATGGGTAGGTGAATTATAGCTCAATAAAGCAGATTTGGGGGGGGGAGAGAGAGAGAGAGAGAAACTAAAGAGACACAGCAACCAACGTATCTGGGTGTGAACTTGAATGGATCCTGGACAGGGGAGAAAAGCAGCTATAAAAGGGATTTGGGGGCCAGGTGTGGTGGCGCACGCCTGTAATCCTAGTGCTTTGAGAGGTTGAGGTAGGAGGATTGCTTGAGCCCAGGAGTTCTAGGATTCATGAGTTATAATGGTGTCACTGTACTGCAGCCTGAGGGACAGAACAAGACGCCCGCCCTTTTTTCTTAAAAAAAAAAAAAAAAGGGGCATTTTTTGAGACAATTGAGGAATCTGGAGTGTACATATTAGGTCATATTATTGAACTAATGTTTTCTTAAATATGATAATGGTATTATCATTATGTCTTTTTCCTGGAAGATACATTCTCAAATATTTGCATTTGAAACAGTAAGGCAGAAACATGCCTTAAAATAATCTAGGGGGTGGAGGGCAAGGGGATTGGGGGAGGGGATGGGAGCACAAATAAAATGAGATTGGCCAAAGGCAGGTAATCGTTGGGCTTAATTAATAGATTTGTCGTACCTTATCATATATTCCCTCTACTTTTGTAAAGGCTTGCAAATGCCTATAATAAGAGTATTTGTTTTAAATTTCCTTTGCCTATGATTCCAGAGAACTCTTCTCCTCCATTTATTTTGTAAAGGCCTGCCCAGGGATCAGGACACCCCACCTGGGCATCTCTGCGTCACCCTGAGGCCTGGCAGGGGGTGATACCCCACAGG